ACAGGCAGATGTTAGAGCACAGGCAGATGTTAGAGCACAGGCAGATGTTAGAGCACAGGCAGATGTTAGAGCACAGGCAGATGTTAGAGCACAGGCAGACAGCGGGGCCGCCTCGTTTAAAAGGACACAGCTGGGAGCTGCTCTGCTCTTTATATGTTCCCTGTTTTACACTGAAACAAATAACTGCAGATTTCATGGAAACTATTTGATTTCGACGTAAACCGGCTTGGCCCATGTGTAGAGGGACTCCTTCCCTGTGCTACAGTTTTACTAACAACCTCTCAACAGACGGAGCAAGGCCGCTTTAAAGCGGCAGAAGTGTGAGCGGAGTCTGGTGTGGCGCAGTGAGAGGAGAAGCTTGGCTAATAGCTGCTGTCAGAGGCTTTTTCTGTTCAACTGTTCGGTCCAGTTCAGCACTCATGCTCCCAAAGCCGTGTTTATTTCAATAATGTATCGAATAATTGCTGTTTTTATTGCATCTGTTTTTAAGTAAACAAACAGCTAACGGCTAACAACCCGTAAAATGACTGTTAGCATGCTAACATGCGGAGCTAACGCTTACTTTCAGGCATCTCTGCGGGCAGCTGCTTCTCCTGCGGTCTGAATCTGGCACGGTCCGGTCACAGGGACAAACTAAGGCTCGGTGTTCGGGTTTCTCTGAGCTGCTGCGGGTCTCTTTGCTCCAGCCAAGCTCCGAGTTAGCTGTGAGGAGAGCTACCGTGCTGTGACGTCACGTCCGTTTTAGTTAGAGAAGAGACACAGCACCTCCTGCAGGAGGAGAGGAGACACCGCAGGACAGACAGCGGCGTCAATGAACACCGCGAGATAAAAAACACAACAAAATTGTACAAATCCGGTTAAAATGAGTTGAAAATAGGGAATAAATAAAAAAATAAAGTTATAATAAAATACAGGCCAAATACTGTCTGTGTTTAAAGATCATTTTCATGTAGTTTAAATAAGGAGTTCTTTGATTTGATGGAGGAAAGGTTTGTTCTGCGTCACTGAGGTTTTTATTCACAGCTCAACTTTGTTCCTCACACACTGAAACACCCGCAGCTCTCCTGCCCGGTCACGTGTTGTTTCTCTGGCTCACAGCGCCCCCCGCAGGTCAGCGGAGCCACAGCTGAAGGTTCTCCAGGACCAGCTGGTGCTCGCTGCTGCGCCACCTTCAGGACTCACACAGCTTCACTCAGAGCTCCTTCAACAAACTCCAAACTCCAGATAACCAGCAAAGTGTTTGTTTCACTGAGCCTGAACCATCTAAACCAGTCAGACCTAAACAAACCCTCTAATTCCAGTAAAACCACATAAACCTGCCAAGAGGCAATGAAACTGAGTCTGTTCCCATTAAGAAACCTTAAAACCAGTTAAACTACGTGATCCTCCTAAAATATCAGTTCATTTCCTGTACATTTATACACTCAGAGTAAAAATATCTGAAATCCAGTTAAATGCTCCCAGGAAACTCGTTTTAAAGAGCAAATTAAACTTCTTATTGCTAATTTCAACATAAACAGCCTGTGAAATAATCTGACTTTAACTCGGGAAAAACTTTGGATGTGTCAATAAACTCCCAGTAAACCCACAGGAGCCCTGCTGATGGACCCAGTGACCTCACAGTAAACAGAGAGCTTCACATGTTCACTTTATTCACATCAGCACATTTACAGAAACAAAAACAGGTGAGTGAATGGACTGAACCACTGCGGGCTCAGACGGGGGTCAGGGCTTGGACTGAGCCAGAGTCTGCAGAGCTTTGGCCACCTGATCAGCTGACATGTTCTCCACGGAGACGCTCGTCTCTTTCCCAAAATCTGAACAGAGACAGGGATCAATAACAGGTCAATACACAGGTGACGCATCTGAGTGTCCCGTGATGCGGAGCGTGAGGAGGCTCACCGTATCGGGCCCAGAGCCGGGCCTGGACTCCAGAACACTCCCGGATCAGGATGGGGAATTCCGGGTTGGACCTCTTCAGGGTCACGTAGTTCTGCTCCACAAATTCTCTGAAACACAGGGGGGAGGGGGGAAGGTCAGCTGACCTGTGACCTCACAGCAGGAGCCTCACCTGTCTGAGTTTCACCTGAACAACTGTTTATTAATCCCACAGGAAGTGATGATGTCACAGAGACATAAACAGTGACAGCATAGATGACACTAATCATCGTACGCCGAGGCGTCCGCTCATCAGACGGCGTCCTCTGCAGGACGTTCGGTCAGAGGGACCCTGAACCTGCAGGTGAACTACAACAAAATGAAAAATAAAGCATGGCCGCTGTTTATTCATCTGCTCATCATTATTCTGTTACTAATGAACAGATTGATCCATAAATCAATACTCTGTCACGTGTCAGTGTTTTCCTCACACGACCAGATTACCAACAGTCTGCGTGCTCTTATTTTGAAGGGTCAGTCCCTGCTAA